CCCTGTGCCCCCCGCGGCCCCCCCCCCCCCCCCCCCCAGTGAACATTTTTTAAAGCAGCCATTGGAACACTTGTGGGCTCCTAGGTTTTTCTATTTTTTAACATTTTTTAGAAGTTTATAATAATTAACATGGCTTACAAATCAAACTATACCAGCTGTCTAAAAAGAGTAGAGTGAAAAGTCGTATCAACACTCTGTCACAGTCAGTCCCAATTTCACACTGCCTGCTGTGGGTTGCACTTTTATTAGTTTTTATATATGTCTACTGTTTCTTTATGCCACCACATGGCAATAGGCGTCTATATTCTCATTTTCCCCTTTATTTCTTTTTTTTTTTTCAGTTGTCAGGGAGTGCTCACTAGAGAGACAGAGACAGAGGCGAGAATGGGAAATCAGTCGCTTTCACATCACAATCCCTCCTCCATACTTCCATCCTGTTGAGATTCTGGGCACACATGAACACACACCCGGCTTGTTTTTCAAATGCCAGATCTGAGATTCGAACTACTCAGTTGCCCACGTGGAATCCAACTCTCTTAACCACTAGGCTACAAGGTCAGCCCATCCTTTTGCCTTTTTCTATACAGGAGGGCTACCCCTTTTATCCTCTGTCTTGCCCCTGGCTCCCCCCAACTCCACAACACATCTTGTGGTTCTCTCCACATTGGTTGTCCTGAGGTCCTCTGTGGGGATGCGGGTAGTTAGTTAAACCAGCCCCACGGCCTGCTGCTTCCTCTGTGATGGACGGACTGTGCTCTCTTTTCTTTAGCCTCCACAGACCACCTACACTTACCACCAACCCCTCCCAGCAGCCACAGCAGTGACTCAGAGGGCAGCCTGAGCCCCAACCCGCGTCTGCACCCCTTCAGCCTGCCTCAAACCCCCAGCCCTGCCAGAGCTGTGCCCCGGGCTCCCTCTGCCCTTTCCAGTTCTCCTCTCCTCACAGCTCCTCACGTGAGTATATGGTGGGCATTTCTGGACATGAACCCTTTCCATTCTGTCACTGGGATCTTTACCCAGAGTGGTGCCACTCAAGGCTTCTTGATTTTTACTTTCTTTTTTCTTTTTTAACTTAAAAAATTATTTATTCTATGAGTGAGTGAAAGAAAGAGAGACCTTCCAACAGTCTTGATGTCATGATCACCTCCAGCTTCTGCTAGCCCTGGGTCATGGACACATACATGCCTGGTGTACTCAGGGGGCCACTGGACATGACCTCAGAATCTTAACCTTGGGTCAGCTTTGCAAAGTTCACCACTATCTGGCCAGCTCTAAATTTTACTCTTGTAAAGATGTTTCCTTCTTGGGACCAGCAGTTAGCATAATGGCTATGTCGCTGGACACCCACGTAGTCGACCATGGTTCGAGTCCAGGACCTGGTGGCTTAAATTCACTCTGGGTGCATGTGCGTGTGTGCCCAATATCCTGAGAGGAGAATGGAGGAGAGGGGATTGTGGTGTGGCCATCCCCGCTGGGGGTGATTTCTTGCTTTCTGTCTCTCTGTCTCTCTGGCGAGCGCACACGCCCTATAGCCAAAACCTCTCCAAAAAAAAAAAGTTTCCTTTTTGTGGCTAAAGCAGAGTAATAATAACCTAAGGAACATTTCTAAAGATTTGCCCCTAGATCTCACTTTGTTACCATAGTTCTTTTCCTTTTTATGTGCACACTTCCAATTTTTATTTTAGTTTACCTAGCTATAAGCACCAGAAATAAAAGTTTGCTTTTTTTGCCCTGAAAATTATACCATAAATATTTACCCTTAATTTAACTGGTCTTATAACCCATAATAGGAAATTGTCTTTTATTTTTTTAAATACGTATTTTTAACTTAAAATTCTAACTCTGTGATGCATAAAACTCAAAACAAAGATCACCCTTTTTTGTTTGTAGTATGACTTTTTTTGGAGAGGTTTTTGCTATAGGGCGTGTGCGCTTGCCAGAGAGACAGAGAGAGACAGAGAGACAGAAAGTGAGAAATCACCTCCCAGGGTGATGGCCACGCCACAATCCCTTCTCCTCCATTCTCCTCTCAGAATCTTAGGCAAGCGTACACACACTCCTGGCTTGAGTTTAAGCCATCAGGTCCAGGACTTGAACTGCGGTCGACCATGTGGGAGTTCAGCAACATAGCCATTATGCTAACTGCTGGTTCCTGTAGTATGACTCTTAACCCAGGGATTCAGGTTAGAAATTATCAGGCATCATTCATCCTTCACTTATATAAGGACACTGTTTTCCAAGTAAATAAAGGTTAAAAATTAACTTTAATTGAAAATTGAATTGATTTCTATGATGTCTAAAAAATTTATACCCCAATTTTTTAAAATTTATAGTATCATGACTGGTAAATTTAAATAAAATGAGATATTTAAAAATTCTATAAGACCTATCTATCAATAAATGTAATTTTGAAAACTGGAATTTATTCTGTCCCAGAAAGTTCTAGATCTATACTCAAATTTTTCTGTATCTCCTTTACTGAAGACAAGGAAATGAGCTATTACCACTCTTTATCTTCTCAGCTTGAACTTGACTTTTCTCTCCTTGGATTACTAGAATGTGCATGCGTTTGCCTTCCATATCTGCATGTCCTACCATGAACATTCATTCTATACATATATGAGAAAGTGTCTTCTCTTGTTGGCAACTGTGTTGTATTTCCTATCATCTACTCTCGTGAAGCCTAATACCCGTACTCGGTATTAGGTGGTTGACTCTCTGCTACTCCCAGAACTCCTTACCTACTCTAAGCAGGGTGGTATCTTCTGTTACTTTTCAAAATACTGCCTTTTGGCCCAAACATCCCCCTCTCACTTAGGTAAAGACCTTCTTCACGATGTCTGGTTCAAGTCTTCTATCCTACCCTAATCCTTCCCTTACCCCAAAACCTCATTGATGTGGTCTCTTCCTCCAAATTTTTGATGTGCCCTCAGTTAATATTACTGTTTAGAATTTAATTATTCTCCTCCTTCCATGGATAGTGACTTGGTCTTGCCATCGTGATCATAAACCACTAGGCATGGGGTTTCTTTTGAGTCACCATGGCATTTAGCATGAAGTTAGCCTGCGGCAGAAACTCAGTTCCCGTGACTACTTAGAAACAGCCATTCTAGTGTGGGCTAAATGAGACGAGCTGTCGCTCTCGCCCTCGTCGTGGATGGACAATCTGGGGCTACTGAGGCCAGAGGCTGCCGTAGAAAGTGCCTGCAGTGTATCCCTGGGACCCCTGCCCCTCAGTTTGAAGTGAAGGTGAGAAGTCACTCCTGTGTGTTGTAAGCACATTATAAAGTTGCATTTTCAGAAGAAGAACAACAAAACTCTTCCATAAAGCAGAGCCAAGTGAACCCATCATCACTCTTAAGGCCAGAGAATTTAATGAATTCTAAACTTTTATGTATATATGTGTGTGTATGTGTGTGTATATATATGTATATATGCTACTGGGGTGCTTGAAAAATAATGAGTGGAGGCTTCTTTAGCTTTCTCTTACATTTTAATCTTGTAATTAATAAAGTTTACAATTAATCTTACAATTAGTTTGTAACATTCACATGAGTGTCTTCTCCATCTTTGCTTCCACTCCAAAGTACCTCTTTCTTACCCTGAGAAGATGGGGCACCCTTTTCGTTGAGCCATCTGTGAGACATTGTAGCAGATTCTTGTGCCTATCAGGAGGTGACCCTTCAGTGTGTCCAGTTATTCTTCTTTGACACATTTTTTGCTCCTTGGTCTGCACAGAAACTGCAGGGATCAGGCCCCCTGGTCCTGACTGAGGAGGAAAAGAGGACTCTGATCGCCGAGGGCTATCCCATCCCCACCAAACTGCCCCTGACAAAGTCAGAGGAAAAGGCCCTGAAGAAAATCCGGAGGAAAATCAAGAATAAGGTAAGGCCTTTCAATCTAGTTGCTTCTGTGAGCAGAGACAGTGAGCAGAATTGAGTTGCGTGTCTTCTTCCCTCCCAGTGGCCAACACTAACCTGTCCTGTGATGAAAACTAAGGCTCAGCCCTTCCTGTCCCCTTGGCGGGGGGCAGAGTGTACTCACCACTTGCTCTGCCTCCCTTCAGCCCCTTCTGTCCGTCTGTTCATGTCTAGGCGGATGGACTCCCAATCGGCAGGTGTCTTCCGTAGTGCCCAAGGGGAACTATTCAGGAGTGGGGGAAGGTGTTAGAACTTCCACTTAAATGTATTATTTTATCTTAGTATTTTAAATATCTGCTTTAGGATGCACACAGTAGTTCCTCTAGTAGGTATGTGTGTCGTTTATAAATATACAAACATCGGTACATTGGGGATGCTTGCCTAAATTTACTTTTGTTGATTTGGATTCATGATAAAAAACATGCTGCGATCCTAGGCCCCTCTGGTGGTGAGCAGGGCTGGCAAGGCTGAGGGGCGAGGCTAAGGCATGGACAGAAAGACAGGCAGCAAGAAGGGGCTCAGTTTTTACCTTTGGACCATGTGCAGAACCAGTAGGGAGTTTACACAACCAAGCCCGACTGTCTTGTTCTATGTGTTGTTTAGAGTTGAGTCACCTGAGATCCACAAAGCTGACATCATTGTCTTGAGTCCATTGTGATGATAGTGATCCGCCATTGTGTTGGCTCCTGGTCAGTGTCCTTTCAATCACACTTTAAATACAGTTAAAACCGCCAGTTTATCCGAGAGTGGATGAGCACACAGGCTGGTTGAATCCAGTGGGGACAGAAGAGGCAGTTAGTAGATGAGTCAACAGGTTAAACATGGGCAGGAGGCTGCAAAAGTGAGCAAGCCCTTGGTGAATTCTATGCTAACAGCCTCCTGTCCTCCATGGACACAAAACTGGTGTATTTGTCTGAGGGGACTTCAAAAAGTAAGTGGAAGGTGGGATTAAAGTACAAGTTTATTTTGGTGCAAAAATATTTGGAATCTTTGTGTCATTCTTTTTTTTTTAATTTCTTTTATGCATTCAATCACTGTACATCACCACAGCTTGTAAAATGAATTTTCCCAGCATGAATACACTGCGCACCAGTCCAGTTTAAGAGAATATCATACACATTATCATCAACAGACAATCCTCCATTTCTGTGTCCTTTAACTGTCGGCCTCTCTATTTTTTCTGTGTCATTCTTTCATTAATATACATTTCCCACGAATGTTTTGAAGACTCCTTGTAGAGCTGAAACTTCATTGTTTTTCTCTTATCTCTTAGATTTCTGCCCAGGAAAGTAGGAGAAAGAAGAAAGAATACATGGACAGTTTGGAGAAAAAGTAAGCCTGCTGACAAGCTGGTTGTGTTTTTTGGGGGGGCAATAGACAGAGAAATGTGTGTGCTAGAGAAGCCATTGATTTCCTCCTTCTGGCCACCTTGAAAGTATCAGCTGTATTTTGCCTGCCCTCTAGTGGTTGCTCTGAGGGGATGTTTAGCAGTATGGAGAGAGAAAAAAAGCACGTTCAATCTTAGACTTTTGAACCACACTATTTCAGCCAAAGATCCATGAGTTCTGGAGATTTCCTTTGCAATAGGTACAAACATTAACATTCCTGCACATTCCTGGAGCTCCTCAGAGGAGGAGCACGGTTTCAGCTGAAAGGACTAGTGCTATTTGATTGGCTTGCTTTGGCCACACTCCCTCATACCCTAGTGCAGGCAGATGTGGACTGGAGTGAGGCAGGCCGGTGTTGTTTATTTTCTGTGTACCATAATTCATGCTATTGGTGAGTGACTTTTTGCAAAAACAGTTAAAGGCACTATTTATTTTTTTGAAAAGGTTGGGATGTCAGGGAGGCTATTAAAGGAATAGGAGTTAAAGTACAGTATTATATTCGCCCTAGAAAATAGTTCCCCAGCTGAGAAAATAACACTATTTTAAGATGGGAATGATGTCACAGGCTCTCATGTGTGTTTGGGGAAAGGTGTGGACAGTGGATCCTCGCTGGTTCTAGCAGTTCCTATTGTGAGTTTAGTGTTTTCGTCACCCAATTTAGGTACTGGTAATTTAGTATTAAGTAGTCTCATTCTGTTCCATCATTTTCTGTAAGTATCTGGGATTAGGATATTCCCATAAAAACCACTTTACTGCCCTCTGGACATGCATGCTCCAGCATTCAGATTCCTTGCCTTGGGATTTGTCACTTCTCGGGATTTCTGGTCACTTGTCCAAGCCCTCTGATTCTTGTAAATCCTGACCAGGAGTACAGCATGTAGCATCCATGCCTGTAGTACTGAGGGAGTAGTGGGATGGGTATCAGCCACAGGACAGAAGAGGCTAGAGAATTGTGTACTGACCCTCTTTGTCTGCCATTATTGAGGCCCTTGTTACTCAGCTCCATCTGTTTCATTTTCTTCTGTCTCTCCACCTTTTTCCCAGCTCAGGTCTGCTAGGCTCTTTCCCGCTGCTCCCGGAGTAGTGGTCTCTCCCTCTGATCTCCTTGATTCCCCATCCCTACACCCTCACTCTTAGCTCAGCATTTGCTTTACTGCTGATAACTGATTTTCTTCTTTCCTCTCCGTAGAGTGGAGTCTTGTTCAACTGAGAACTTGGAGCTTCGGAAGAAGGTGGAGGTCCTGGAGAACACCAATAGGTGGGTGTGTGTGGAGACAGAGCTGATTGCACTGCCTGAGCAAGGGTGGGGATGACAGCAGAGTCCCGGACCAGACGTGGAAGGAGAGCGTAGGAGACCACGCTGAAAGTAGAGCTAGTTCAGGATGGCTGAACTCCACTCTCCTGTTCCTGTTAACACACCCTCACATGCACACACACACACATGCAAACACATATTCATATGCACACAAGTGCACACACATTCATGCACACATGCACATATGTGCAAACCCTCATAGGCACACGTACATAGGCACACACATTTTTATGTGGAAAAAACACACATATACATATGCCCAGGCAGGCATAATACTCACATGCACTCTTATGCACACATATGTACACACACTTTTTAAAAAAAGAGTTATTTTATTTAACTTTATTTATTTACTTACTCATTTTAATTTGAACAGAGAGGGACAGAGAGAGAGGGAGAAAGTGAGAAAGCAAGCCACCAGGTGTGACACTGGAACCGTGGTCACCCATGTAGGAGTCCAGCGCTGTTAACCACCATGCCATCTGTTGGCCCCAACATGCTTTTTTTTTTTTAAGAGAAATTTTTTGCTATAGGGTGTGTGCACTCGCCAGAGAGACAGACAGAAAGCGAGAAATCATCCCCAGGGCGCATGGCCACACCGCAGTCTCTTTTTCTCTGTTCTTCTCTCGGGATTTTGGGCATGCATGCACACATGCCTGATGTGAGTTTCAACCCTCCTGTTCCAGGACTTAAACCACGGTCGGCCATGTGGGAGTCCAGTGACACAACAATTATGCCATCTGCTGGTCCCCCTCCACCCGACATGTTCTTTACTTTTCTTAAATGATATAGGATTTATGAAGAGGCTGATAATGACAAGGGGGTTAGCAAAGAGGCTTGGAGGAGAATAAGGTCAATAAGTCTAATTCTTTTAAAAATGGACTCACACTTTAGAACTAGATAAGGAGGCACTGGCTACCTTATTATCAGTCAGTCTTAATAATAAATGGTGTTTATTTGTACAAAGAAGACAAAATAATGTGCTTTTTTTAAAAAAGATTTTTTTTTAATTATTTTTAATTTGCTATAGAGCATGTGCACTCACAAAGAGACAGAGAGTGAGAAAGCAAGGTATCAGGTCCAGGACTCGAACTGTGATTGGCTATGTGGGAGTCCAGCACCTTAACCACCATGGCACCTGTGGGCTCCAAAAATAAAGTTTTAAAAAATAGTTTTTAAAAATTAGCCAATGAATTACATTTCAAACCCATTTTGGAAAAACTATGGGACTGAGTTGATGGTTCCTTCAGCATGTTCTGTGTCAGGCATTGGTTTAAGCATTGTATAACTATTAGCTCATTCAGCCCCATGAGGAAATATCTGTTGTTACTCTCATTCTGTAGGGGAGGTCATTGGGAAAGAAAGGGTAGGTGATTGGGCCAGGGTCACGAAATAAATGCTAAAGCTGCATTTGAACCTAGGCAATCTGGGTCAGGAGACTCAATATGGGAGGAACATATTGAAGTTCATGCCTGGGTCGTATACAAGAGAAAGAGCCAGGGGTACAGAGTTATGACCCTGATTGTTGGGGTGTTTCATCCAGAGCGTATATGTTTGTGTGCATGCATGCTGCCTACCAATGCTCCGAAAACTGAAGTATTCATTAGAGATTCCTACCACCCTTCTTGTTATCGAACCAACAGATGAAGCAGAGAAAAATGGACTTATTTGAGCAAGCAAAAGGTTAATTAATCACTTTAAAGGTCAACATTAATGCCTGACAACAATTCGCAAATGTTAAGGGATTCGGTTAAATCTCTTCTTTGCATGCTAGTTGTCAATAAGATTGAGTTTGACTCCTCTTTCCCGAATCTTCATAGCTCGTTACTCAAAGAGCAGGCTAAGGCCCTCTACATTAGAGCTGCCATCTGTGGGAATACTGGACATTGGGATTCTGATGAATTTCCCTTTGTAATTTTGGGATGTATACTCATGTAGCAGGTCAAGGGCAAGTTACTTACGCCCTGTGGACAGACGATCTGAAGTGGGGAGGTGTCAGCAGCTCAGTGTGGCCTTACCTTGATCTCCTGAGGTGAAGGAGCTTGCTTCAAATACAGGTGTAGGATTCTAGTTTCACCGCGCACCTTTGGCGGTTAGTCTTGTGAGGCTTCACCGCTTCTTACCTCTGTCTTCACTTTGCAGTGCATCTGGATCTCTGAACCTTTGTTTCCCAGCCAGAATCTGTAGCCCTTTTTAATATCCTGAGCAGGTAGGAGCTTTCATGCCCATCCTGGCCTTGCTGCTGCAGAAGGCCATCTTCGTTAGTGGGACAAATCCTGGCTACTAATTGGTGGGAAGGACAAGAGGACTGTATTAAAGATGACCTTGGAGTTTGTGTCCAAGTTCCATCCTCTGGGCTCTGGTGTTATGCCCTTCCTCAGCCACATGGGGGCAGCAGAGGAGCTTTGAGGCTCCTTTCTTACACTGACCCACTTCACCCCGGGACAGGGGTGTAAGGAAGAAGCCTCAAAGCTACCTTGTCTGGATAAACGTCTCTTCCTCCTCTCTCCAGGCTTATTGTATGGCATCATATTTTATTTGTTTATTCATTTTTCATTCTTGATTGGTTTAAGTATTTTTATTTGTGTTCCTTTGAGTCAGATATCCAAATAAGGTTGGTTGATGCACTCATTATATATCTCCTTGTCTCTAGGTTCTCTTTCACCTACTTATTGTTATCTGGTGAAGAACGGAGTCAGGTGTCTTATAGGTTCTCCTGCAGTATCAGGAGATAGCGTATCGTTTACTTCACTCTAGACTATATTTTGCATAAGCATTCTTTAAGTTTCTACGGTATTCTTCCATCAGAAGGTACTTAATAAATGATTACCTAGTTATTAGGGATTTAAGTTCATTGCCTGTATAGATGAATACATAGGGGTTTGGAAATAATTTTATAAAATCCAATACTTTTTTCAATTATTAGCAGAATATTTTTCTAAAGTAAAACTTTTCATCAGTAGTGAACATGAGAGTACAGCTATTTCTTTGAGATGCTGCTTTTATCTCCTTGGGGTAAATGCCCAGCAGAGGGATTGCTGGGTCATACGGTAGTTCTATTTTTAATTTTTTGAGAAGCCTCCATACTGTTTTCTTTTCTTTTCTTTTTTTTTTTGGAGAGATTTTCGCTATAGGGCCCGTGCGCTTGCCAGACAGACAGAGAGAGACATAGAGACAGAAAGCGAGAAATCACCCCCCAGGGGGGATGGTCATGCCGCAATCCCTTCTCCTCCATTCCCCTCTTGGGATCTTGGGCACGCATGCACACGCGCCCAGCGTGAGTTTTAAGCCACCGGGTCCGGGACACGAACCGTGGTCGACTACGTGGGAGTCCAGCGACATAGCCGTTACGCTAACTGCTGGTTCCCCATACTGTTTTCTGTAATGGCTGTACCAACTTACGTTTCCACCAGTGTGTACAGTGTCCCCTTCTCTTCATACTCTTATCAATACTTGTTATGGCATCTCTTTTTTATAATGGCCATACTAACAAGTGTGCGGTTCTAGCTCATTGTGGTTTTGGTTTGCCTTTCTCTGTAGATGTGCATCTTTTCATACACTTCTTAGCCATTTTTTAGTTTTCTTTGGGAAAATGTCTATTCAGGTTCTTTGCTTATTTTTAAGTTGGGTTATTGGTTTTGTTTTGCTAGCAAGTGTGTGTTCTCACCAGAGAGAGGGAGAAAGAGAGAGAGAGAGAGAGAAAGAGAGAGAGAGAGAGAGAGAGAGAGAGAGAGAGAGAGGAGAAAACACCTCCCATAGTCATGCTGCCATCTTTTCTCCCCCACCTCTCCTTCCTTTCAGGATTTTCAGGCACACACACACACACACACACACACACTCACACCAGGTGTGTTTTCCAAACTGCTGGGTCTGGGAAATGAACTACATGGTTAGCCATGGGGATAGGCTGCCTTAACTACTAGGTCATGGAGCCAGAAGCCTTTTTTGTCTTTTTTTGGTTTCATGACTTCTATGAATTTCTTATATATCTTGGATGTTAACTGTCTATGGCTTATATAATTTACAAATGTTTTCTTCCAGTCCATAAGCTGCCTTTTCATTTTGTTGATTATTCCCTTGGTAGTGCAGAAACTTTTTAGTTCTACTTGTTTATTATATTTTTTAACCTTAAAAGAAGTTGCACAAATATTATATGTTCTTGGAAAAAATTAGAAAATAACAGTTAAAAAGAATAAAATTACAATAATTTCACCTAGAGTTATCTTTACATTTTGGAATATGTTACACATACATATATGTGTGCGTGTGTGTATTTATACTGTCTATATTCTTCTGTTAACTGTTTCTATTTAATAAAATACACTAGACATGTTCATGTCAGGAAATATATTTCTATAGAATCCTTATTTGAATGTTAAAAAAAAAAAATCTCAGTGATATTGGCATTTCACGCAGCCTTATCTAATAGGTTGCTATTACTGAATCTGGCCAGGTTTAGCAGAGGCCACTTTGTTAAAGCAGAACTGTTTGCTTGTTTGTCTTGTTTTGTTTTGCTTTCAAATTTATTGAGGTACAAGTGACGAATAGACTTTAAAAGATACAGTGTAATGGTTTGATACATGCATACATTGTAGAATGCTTACCACAATCAAGGTAATTAACACATCCAGCCGTCTTACTTAGTTACCTGTGTGTGTGTGTGTGTGTGTGTGTGTGTGTGTGTTCGTAATCTTTAGACCCACTCTCTCTTGGACTGACTCTGTGGACTGGTGGTTAAGGCAACCAGAACCTACCTCATGATTTAAATCCTGGCCTTCGTGGCTTGAATAAACATGTTGTGTATGTGTGCTTGAGTGCCTCAAATTCTGACAAGACAGAAAAACGGAGAAGAGATTGCAGCGTGACTATGCCCCATTGCGGTGTGTTTTCTCCCTCTCTCTTTCTCTCTGTCTCTCCGGCAAGCTCACATACCCTCTGGCAAA